CTTAACCTGTATAAGCCTCAGTGTTTTTGTCCACAAAATGGGAATGATTATCTCAGGGCTACTGAGAGGACTATGTGAAAGAACCTACATAAAGAGCGTAACACATATTTAGCATTCAATAACTTAAAGCACTTTGTTTTTAAGCTGGGGCACTCTGAGGCTGGTGGTATAGAATCACAGTTTATGAGAGCAAGGGCATTCGAGTCAGAGAATCTGGGATTGGCGTCCCATCATTGCCTCTTACAAGCTATGTGACCTCAGACACATTACCCAGCCTGCCCGAGTCTATGCACTAGGACTACTAGGAAGTACATGCTATGTGTTGGTATGTAAATTATTTAGCACGGGGCGTGGCACATCCTAAGTGCTCAGTAAATAATAACCATTTATGATTGGAAAGGCTCTAGTAAATAGTAGATATTGTCTGAGTTAGCCTGTGACATATGAATACAATGATGGCATATGAGAACTAGAGTAGAGCAGAAACCATCCCTCTGAATATGGACTAGACATGAAGAGTATTCAGCAGGGCTAGACACTGGGAGAGCAGCAAGAAATAAGTCCAGCAATCCATGTTGAGACTAGAGTATGGAGAGGCCAAAATGTCCTCAAAAAAACCATCACGTAAAGTAACTGAATGCTATTTCACTAGAATCCTTCACAAATGAAAATATTCTTTTCTAATTCATTTCTACAGGGATGATTACTCACTTTTTGAAAGTTAAGTATCCATAAAAGACCTAACACAAAACAAGAATGTATGAATTTAATACTACTTGTATTTTTCATAGAAAATCGAATGCCATAGGTAATATGTATTTATTCCTTACTCGTAGTCGACTGATCCTGCAATTCCTTGTAAAGTGTACTTATTTATCTTTTCTCTTTAGAAATACAAAAATATTGAAATGTCAACATCTTACAAAAAAGAAAAAGTTGACCTAGTAGTTTAAGCTGGTTAGTACTATGTTGACAGATTATGAACACGGTTTCAAAATGACTGCCTTCTGACCCTCCAAACTTCAGTGTTTTCTAACTCACTCATTAAGCCAGAAAACATGGCTGACTGGGGGGTCCTTTATTATTAAAAAGATTTATAAAATCACAAAATATTATACTATTGCATTTACCCACTTGAGCAATTATAGAGAAGAAATAAATGAGGGAAAGAGGAATAAAAACACAATTCTCCATTGAGCTTTATTTATATTCTGCACATTAAAACATATTTTGTGCAACTGCAAGATTTCAGGTATGTAAATATACTGGTTTCTCCGCTACAAAACTTTGTGACTTTAGTCAAGTTCTTTGGGTCTTAGTTTTTCCTCAAGTGTAAGAGAAAGGGGGTGCTGGTTGGAGCCATAAGATCCCTCCCAGCAGATAAATCATATAATTCTAAAGTTCAAACAAGTCTTTTTTTAAAAATAATGTTTAATTATTGGAGAAAGAGGAAATACATATTAATGCAACTAAGTGGCCTTCATAATAAAGTCTTGATGTGTTAACCTGTAATTTAAAACATAATTACCTTAAAATGAAGGTACCTATTTGAAGGGAATTAATACTTAGCACCAACCATTTGAAATAGTTGGGCGGGGCGGGGAGGGAGTGTTACTCATAATAAAAACCAATGATAATTCAGTTTGATATCTTAAGCAAAAAAGGTCCTCTGAGTCAGAAAATTAACATAACAGGTGAGAACACAATATTAAGGACACACTATAACAAAAAGCTGCAATATCAAAGCTGTGATAAAGAATGAGAGCAATGATAACTAACACAAGTATTTTTTAAAACCCTTAATGATTTTTATACACCTGCAGTCTCATGAAATATCACATTCTCCTAACTGCTTTGTCTCTCCTCACTCCGTATGAAAGTGGAAGTGTCTCAATGAACCGTCATGGCGGGCAGTTTTAAAGAGTGCTTTTACCTTCTATTCTCTATCTTTTAAAGTGGGTACTTCATTTAACCAGCTCCAAAAAAGGTTCATGTTCCCTTCTTCAGCTTCTCCCATCACAGAATGGCAAAATAAAGGTCCACTATAAACAATTAACTTTTACATATTCACAAAGAATAGAAATCAAATTTTCTGTTTACTTTCCCTAATATTTTAGAAAGAAATAGTAAGGCTTTTCAATGAAAATATTGTTTTTCTAAGTCATGTTCTACAATATTCTACCACAGACCTACAAATCCAGTACAGTTGTTCAGGGACTCACCACAGAGCTATTTATAAAAGAAAGTAGAATACATTTCACTGCTCCATTTAAGAAAAAAAAAAAGAGAAAGATTTTGTAGGCTTCCCCAGAGTATTCAATTCTCAGTAAATAATAATAATGCTTTAAAAAAACAAAAATATATAACTAGTAACAGTAATATTAAGGAGAGAAAAAAATTAGATTTGCCAAAACCCATGCCTAAAACACATGACAACTGTTTTGTAGATTAAATTTGCAATCGTCACAAAATTTAAGCCCCCAAAGTTGTAAACAAAATATAGAGTGCTCTTTTATTCATGACATGTCATGAACAAATTACCAAAATGTGTTTTCTCCTCAGGTGTCAGTTTTTCCCTCTTTTAGTGACTGATGGTTCCCAGTGTTATTACAGAAACAGATTGATCTTTTTAATGAGCCAGTTTAATAGACTCCAGAATCTCAACGTGGCTGCTCATCCATGTCAGACCATATGCACCAACAAAACATTCAGTAAAACAAAAAAAGCTCTGCTGTCAGACAGCTCCATACTCTATAAAATTTCATACAGTAGGCCTGGATATACATATAAATAATCAGAGAAGAGGAAAGTGCATATGCAAACAAGATACCGAAAATATATGCAAAGAAATACTATAGAGGCCCATATTTTCTTGGCTCTGATCAAATTCCCACAAGATAAAAGTGTATTTACACAACATATTCTCATTACCCTTCCTCCTAACTCGAAGAAAGTCCATTTGCAATTTTTTCCTTTATAACACACACTTAGGGGTTCCACCTGAAAAAGAACGCTCTACCCAAAGAGCAAGCTTGTTACTTCTGACTCTGGCAGTTAATTCTGCATGCGAGTAACCATGGGGAGAATAAAAGTGAAGGCTCTAAGAGAGTTCTACCTGGCTGAATGCAAACACGCATGCACACATAGCCACAGTTCACTAAAACAGAAATGCTGACTTTCTATGTAATTTATATGAAGCTTTCTTATCAATGTGAGCACATCATTCCTGGCTTACCTCAGCACTGTCCAAGGAAAGTCTAAAGGCATGGTACATTCAAATATGTGAAATATGTTCAAATCAACAGAAAAGAACGAGTGGAGAAATGGCTGGGAATATAGAGAAATGAATGAAGGAAGTTTTTATGTTGCCTGTTATGGCTACTTAGCAGTTAGGGTTTCTAGAATACATTGTCTATTTCCAGCTTTGCCTGTAGGATTATCTTTATATTTATCATAGCTACCTAAACTTTCCCCTGTTACCCTCCCCTCCACCCAAATATATGTTCTTCGTCCCAATTTTCCTCCCAGTCTCTCCCTGATTTTTTTACTATACTGTCCTGAAAAAAAAAAAAAAAAAAATGGAGCTGAAGGATCTCAATACCTGCACCCAGCACTGATTTCCTGCAGGGTAAATGGTTAGGATCAGACAGAATGCACATGTGAATTATCTATCCTTGGGCCGCTTCTTGGATTTCAGGATCATATGGACGGGTCACTCAGACCCCTGGATTAAGCAGTCCCCTTTAAAAGCTAAAGTACTAAATGCTTATGTATGGCCAAGGAAATATGACTTGCAAAATTAAGACAGTAGCATTACTGGTAGTCCATATATGAAGGTGGGTCCATTGTATGCCAGAGTTAAACTAATGTTTAACCTTGGCTTCAAGAACTTTAAACTATTAAGAGGTCCTATGTCAAGAGAAGACAAATTCCAGAGATTGTAGTATAAAAATTACAGTAACTATTGGCTTGCTTTTAATAATCTTCTGATTTGCAAAGCAGCTGATACATTTAAGGGCAGCCGAGTCAGTCACAGATAGATGTCTGTGAGCATCTCGAAGGACTGTAAGCTCCTATTAATCTGGAATATAATTGTGGCCAAGTGTTGACTTTTCAAAGGCTATTATACTCATGCCTGATGAAAGAGAGAAAATATAAATGGGGAAAGAAAACAAAGTATATGGCAAATAAGTTTCGAATACTGTTTTCATTTTCAGATTCTCCAAATTTCATAAATACCATGTAAACAGCTAATAAGACTTCCTTATTAATAAGCATTCCTACATTAGAAAATAATTATATATGAGGATGAGGTATTAAAGGAAATTATTTTAGTAAGGGGCATGAGCATTTTCGTGTATATGCCTTATTCAACACCTACTGTGTTGAAGGGACTTTATTTTACATTTCTCAGAATTCTCAGTAAGGGAGCAGAGTTCCTGATAGGAGAAATATTGGCAGATAAATAAAATTTTTCAGCAAAAATGCCATTTATTATCTCTGTTATTTAACTCTTACTTTCCCTCGGGTCACCTAGCTTCCCAGAAGTTTTCTCTTAGTTCACATAAAAGCAAATTAAACAGCTACTGCGTTGCACTTACTGAGTAATATATAAAGACCAGCTCTCAAAACCATCATGCTTTGAAACAATTTAGAACAGCATATTTCCTAACACTGCAGAGTAAAATAGGGGATTGAATTATATAATACAGTTTTAATACTGTGCGTCTAAGAACCCTCAGTGGCAGTTAGCACATCTGAATATCATTCCTCTTCTTTTACTTTAACATTATACGCAACAAAGATTAAGCTGCACAAAAGCCTGGCACAGGCTAGAGATTCGTCATTCTGTAACATCTCAGGCCAGAGAGAGGTCCCCAAGATAAATGCTTTAGCTTATGGCTACTTTGCAAGAGGGAAGGTCAGCAGTTTAGATGTCACATGAAACCAGAGATACAAGGTAAAGGCCCTGGTTAGTCCACAGTCCTCCCCGCTCTCACCTGTCTGGAGTTCGCCTCTTCCCGTTTTCGTTCACGTCGAGAAGCAGCTCTGAGGAGTCAACAGGTGAGGTGGTGCTGGCATCCAGAAGCAGCTGTTCGTGCTGGGCGAGGTACTGGGCAGGGTTCTGTTTGGCCAGCCTGGCGCAGTGCAGGAGCTCGCGCTGCAGCAGGGGCAGGTTCGCCTGCAGGAGCGTGACAGGAAGACAAGGAGGAACCTGGTCCGCTTTCAAACACGGACAGAGCATGCAACACAACTAAACAAAAATGTGTCTGAATGGATGGGACAGGGTTGATTCTCAGGCACACGCCTCAGCACCGGGCTACAGTGTTAGTCTTTCCCGGAGCCTGGGTTGCCCCAAGCATGAGGTACCTGACCTTTGTAAGCCATCTCACCTCTCCTGCTTCCACAGACACTAAGAACATTGGGATTTGCACTTATTTATTTTTAAGGTCCTTCATACTTGAAAGCACTGATTAACAGCTCTACAGGATATGAGGTTCCAGCTCCATCCATAAGCTTCTTTTGTTTTTTTCCCCACGGAAAAAAGAGGGTATGTGAATACATACACACTGCAATTAATTTCAAAATAGGCTTCCTGACACATTTATTTTTGTTTCTAGTAATTTACCCAGGTAAAACAGGCTAATCCTACGAAATATCTCTGGTCAACAACTAACCTGAAGTAAAAAAAAAAAATAGAGAGAAACAAATGTAGAAATTATTTTTAGTAATAATCAGATTCATACATTTAGTAATGCCTTGTTGTCCCAGGTGGAATTCATGTAGAAAACAGCATAGACAAGTAGTCTACAAAAATTATCTGCTATCAACCTTATTCTAAAAAATACATATATCTTCATAGAAGAAATCCTGTGTACCTATCACTCACTCCTCTCCGAGCCCAGCACTCTGAAAAAGACTCTCAGAACATGCTTCTTGACACATAATTCTGGCAATCTCAAATGTAATGACAGGGAAGGAGACAATTTCACATATAGTAAAGCATTAAAATGAAAATGGAATTTTACTCTAAAAAGTCTGACATTATAAACCTGGGTGGTTGGTTGCTTTATTTTTCTTCTCTCACTCTTTTATTTTCTGTTCTTTTAGGTGGGAGGAGAACAGAGTGAATAGTGTGCCAGAGTGAACAGCACTCATCCCCAATAATACATAACTCTCCAAATTCGAGGACAGATCAAGAACATACATCTCTTTGCAACATAAGGACTTCATTTGTAGGAACCAGGTGCCATGTACATTAACTAACCTGTCAAGAAGAAAAGCATTTCAAGAAGAAAATACAGGAGGTTCCAGTTGTCTTAATCTTTGGGCCCTCTAGAATATCAGGGACAGGCATGAAGGCTGGACTTGAAACTCAAATCCATCTTCCAAAATGTTAACTAAGGAACCATCTCATAATAATGCCAAAGCATATTTCTGCACAAAGTATAAATAAAATGATAGGGTATTTGCTAAAGATAAGCATATACCACAAAATGTAGCAATGAAAATAACTTCCTGCTCCAGAATAATGCTAAAAATAAACCCTTTGTAGTTAGTCTAGCGGATCATGTGAGTAATAAATATATTTTCAAATATTTTTTAAACTCTCTTTTTTCCTAGTGAATGTAGATCTCAGATATCCTGTGCCATCCATAAAATTAAAAAAATAGCAACTCCATGTGAACATTTTAAAAGTTTTAAGAATCATTCTGAGGCACATGTATAAGATTTAAAATGTTTATAGTAGCTCTATTTACAATAGCCAAATGCTGGAAACAGCCTAAGTGCCCATCAGTAGATGAGTGGATCAAAAAACTCATCTGTACATTTACACAGTGAAATACTACGCAGCAGAAAGAAGGAACTTCTACCTTTTGGGGCAGCATGGATGGAAATGGAAAATATTGAGCTAAGTGAAATAAGCCAGGTGGTAACATACAAATACGACATAATCTCACCTATAAGAGGAATCTAATGAACAAAATAAACTAACAAACAAAATAGAACCACAGGCATTGAAACATGGAACAGACTGAAAGTGGCCAGAGAGAAGGGGGGAGGGAGATAATGGTGGAAAGAAGGGAAAGGGACTAGAGAAAGAACATGTATGGCTGATCCATGGACATGGTGTGGGAACTGACTGTGGGATGGGTGAAAGAAGGCAATAACGGGGAAAACTGTAATAGAATAACAATTTTTTAAGATGATAAAGAAAAAAGAGATTTAGATTGTCCAAAACAATATGCTGCAAACCTCTCTACTCCTGATTCCTTCAAAAAATTCCAAAGATATAAAATAGTAGGACAAGAATGGACTAATAAAGGAGGAGACAAAAATAAAATCTTCAGGACTCTATTAACAAAGCATGAGATTCAGAATAATGAGAAGGAGGGGAAAAAAAATCAACACTGTCCCATGACCTCCTTCATATTATCTTCAGCCTTCTTATCAAGAGGAGGCACCTGGGGTATCATAAACCCCATCCCCCATGCACACTACAACCAAGGCTGCTGCCATGCTGTATGAAATAGATTCAGTTGGGACCACAGGTACAAGCTCTATCTGAACATGCAGAGACCTTTCAAAAGCAATCAGATTCCTCCTCTCAGGAATGCTAGCAATATTTAACCAAGCAGGCAAACATAGTTATGCCAGCTCAGAGAGACAAATTCCTGAATGATAATCAGGAGAATTGACTCACAGGCTGGACATCTTGTGTGCAGATGTGTTTTGGCAAAGCATTCCCTGGCTCCCATCCAGAAACAGCCTTAATACATTCAGTACAAAAGCTGATTTTAAGATACATAAAATCGTAATCCTGAAGACAAGTTATAAAATACGCATTTATTTGGCTATGTGTTATAGATAATAACTTCTTAGTTTCAGGATCAAATATATTTTTGCAAAGAAGACTGTTAAATAATGGCTGTGGTTAAGGCATAAATAAACTTTTTAACTGATGTCTAAAAATTAAGATGCTTATAAGAGAAGATGTCGTATCTACCAGCTGCTTTCACTGAAAAGTTCTCTTTAAATTCATCTTATCTATATTTTGGTGGGATTCCTAACTTCATGTTTAATACAGTCTCTGTCACACAACTGAGTGATTAATAGTAAACACGCATGCCTCCAGTTTCAAATTTAAATGTATGGATGGCACAAGACAAGAGGCTTTCACGTGGTACTCAGTTTAATTTAGTGATTCCATAAACATCTTCTTCCAATTTAAAAAATATGGTAATACAAAGCAATTTTGTTTGCTCTAATTCTGGTGCCAGATTAGGTAATTAGAATGGTGTCTAATATCCTTCCAGTAAATGTTTCTCCATAAATGCAAAATGGAATCGAGGGTCTGAGGGTTACATTAGCTTAATGAAAACAAGACTTTAATGCATATTGTTAGAGCAATGTTTGAATGCACTTATTAAGGCCCGAGTTCCCACAACCATATGGTTTTTGTCATTAATGTCTCCTTTGAGAAAAAGCACTAAAATTAGAAAAAAAAAAGTTATATCTTTGATTCCAATGATCCCAACTAAATGATATGGTAACCATATGGTGTGCAGCGGTGATAGAAGAACATGGAAGTGTCCTTGTAAGCTTTTAAATATTTTTTTGGCTGCCAACTTGACCCTGAAAGGAGTCTTTTTCCCCCCCATTCCTTTTCTTTCTTTCTTTCCTTCTTTTTTTTCTTGTAAGCAAAGAAACCAGTGGTATTTGCACAGGAAATGGCATTCATATGATGAAGTCTTTACAGAAAACAACTCTCAGAAAACCAAAGATTCTACTCAACTAACGTGTTCCAAACATAATATGCTTTTAAGAATATATGATTGTAGTATAAGTCATTTTGGAGGGAAATACTTATACATCATACCTGTTAGCTTAGATACACAATTAGAAAAGAATGAAAAAAAAAATTAAAATCTGAGTTCCCATATACAAAGATCTAATTTATTAGTTTGTAAATATTATCAGAACAGAATTATTTCATTTCACCTCAGTAAGAGAAACAGCAGAAAAGGCTTACAATTTATAAAGTTCTGAATCTGGGCTCAGTTCAGAGAAGCCTGTCTGGGTTTTTGGATAGTTACTTGAACCTTATGTGTCTGATTAAAAAAAAAAAAAGTGGAATTTCACACAGGACTCTGGTCAGTTATATTTCTGGTGTCTCTCAAGTACAGAGTTCTAGGAAGCAAAAGGGAAGGTAAACACCCCTGGCAAAGAATGGAATCACAGGCTTCTTGGCGTGCTCACTTTGAAAGGGATCTTTAAAGGTAAAGGCAGATGAACCTTTCTCATTAATCAATCTGCAAAGCCTACTGTTAGTATAAAAATAAGTTTGTTCTGCTCTGGCTGGATGGCTCAGTTGGTTGGAGCATCTTTCCGTACACCAAAACATTGCTGGTTCGATCACCAGTCAGAGCACATAACTTAGGTTGAGGGTTCAATCCCCAGTCGGGACACATATGTCAGGGAGGTAACCAATCGACATTTCTCTCTCACATTGAAGTGTCTGTCTGTCTGTCTTTCTCCCTCCCCCCCACTCCCTCCCTCCCTCTCTCCTTCCTTTCCTCTCTAAAACCAAGAAACAAATCCTTGGGTGATGATTTAAAAATTTTACTTTAAATGGGTTTGTTTTTCCACATGTTTTTCACTGACAACCTACTAAGCCTAAGCAATATACACACCCAAATCAAAGTAACCATAGTAATTTGCTTTTCTATCAAAACTATCAATTCTTTTAGTATCCATCAGTGAATTAACCACCTGCTGTATCAAATAAAAATGTCCCTTCTTTCTTTTGTGCGCTCTTTTTATGTTTTCCAGTTGCTTTATTGAAGAGGCAGTAATTGGAGGAAATGGAAAACTCAGGATTAAAAAGTGCTTCTAACCTGCCTCAGACAACACTCATACAGACATACCCTGGATCTGTCACTTACAATTTCTTAACTGGCAAAAGGGATGAGGTTTTGTATGTTGCAAAAATACATAGGAAAAAAAAAATCCAAAACTCTGAAAAACTAAAAAGCACAACCAATGTCCTATTATTTCTAAAGACAAGCAAAATGTAAACTGTAATTTCAAACGACCAAAAAAACGAACAAAACCTTTACTCAAAGAGATTTCTCAACTCTTCTTCCAACTTAACTATTCAAAACACTCTGTATTATAATTTTAAGGCTACTTCAGCCCTGGCTGGTGTGGCTCAGTTGGTTGGAGCGTCATCCCATAACTGAAAAGGTTGCAGTTTTGATTCTTGGTCAGGGCACATGCCTGGGTTGTGGGTTTGATCCTGAGTTGGCACACGTATGGGAGGCAGCCAATCAATGTTTGTCTCTCTCCCTTACTCTCTCCATTTCTCTCTAAAAGCAGTGAAAGTGTCCTTGGGATAAAAGGAATAAAAAAGGCTTATTCAGAAAGGATTATAAAACCATATATATTCAGATAGTTTTCATCCATTAAACTAAGTCAAAGCACCCTACATTTCTGACCCCCTCCCTCCTAAACAGAAACACTGTTGTGACCTAGCAACAACATGGTTTGAAATCCTTTCCAGACCAGTGAGCTGTGCAATACCTTCAAAAATGGGATGACGAAAGGTCGCAGTGGGAAGTTAGTAGCTTCTTGCAGTTTGGAATGAAATTCTTCAATTGTCAAAGTAGAGTTCTGTGGAAAAAAATATGTATTATAAACACATTTGTCTCTTGGTAAATAGTAAAAACACTGAGACTAATAAATTACTAATACTGTTATAACACAGTGTAATAACCAGCAGACACACATATAGGATGCAGTATTTTCCACATAAAACTTTCTGACTTTGTAAAAAAATATCACGTATTATAGTTTATTGTATCACCCACCTCTAAAAATAACAACTGAAAATGAAACACAATAAATATGGCACTTTGAGAATAACGTGCATAGTTTTTTTCAGAGAAGTCTCTGCAAGTATGAAGAACATTTTAATATTACCTTTATGGAAAACAAACACATTTGGATGTATTTAAAAGCACAACTGATCACGTAATGGGCCAAAGGCAAGTGTCAGAATCTCAATTCATCCCACATGTCATGTCTGTGTTACTGCTGGTAGGAATATTCTTCCTCTGTCCTTTCATGTAACATTCTTTCTTTGTCTACCAGAGCATCTTTTCTCAGGATAACAGCTTAGCTGGATAGTGCATTGTGCTATTAAAGCCAAGGAAAAGGTTTGGGTATTCTCTGATTCACTGAGTCTTATAGAAGGTAAAAAAGAAAATTTCCAGTTATCAAAGCTATTTTATTTAGTATTGAGGCAATATATATTGCTCAACCCAGTAGAGACTTCAAAATGACTCAATTCACTCCTAAACTATCCCATATAAACCCTGAGCCCAAAAATACTCAGAGTTAGTATCCTGCAATGAGTAATGTATATTGATGAAAGCATCTACTTGACAGACAACCAATCTATTATAAAAATGTTGAGTAAATTAACTATATTTGGCTCATTTTCCTTAGTCCCTAGACAGAATCACAGCTATAAACTTAGGTCTCAATTTCAAACCTTTCACTATGCTCATGTCTAACAAAATTGGGGTATTTGTGACCTATAGATTTAGAATATTGTTTCTCCACTTTTTTGCGCAGTTCCTTTTCCTTTTATGACAAAGTATGGGACAATAAGTTCTAAACTTTTATACTCCCAAATTCACAATGTCTTAACATGAAATTATGAATAAACACTAGCTTCTTATCTGTAACAATACAGTTTAAGGAGTCTACTCTTTTTAATCTTCCATTTTGTTTCTCTTATTTTTTTCAGTTAGTAAATTTTTTTAATTTTTAGTTAATTAAATTTATTGGAAAAAAATTATTGGTATGATATGGGTTAATAAGAGTATATAGGTTTCAGGTATACATTTCCATGATACATGATCTGTACATTGCATTGTGTGCCCACAACCCAAAGTCAAATCATCTTACATCACAATATATTTGACTCCTTACCGTTCACTATTCCCCTCATTTTGTTTCTATAGCTTGTTTTCTAAAGCCATACCAGTTGTGTTTTGCACATTAAAACAGATACTAATATTTTTCTTAACTCTATCTAAATAACAGATAATGAGATTCATTATGATTTACTACCTGGGTGCAAATCATAGACCTGTTACTACAATTTGGGTAGCCTTGTATATTTTACTTCTGTAAACCTTTGTAGCCTCACATATAAAATGTGTATAAAAATCACTACCCCAAAGTGTGGTCCCAAGATGTAAATAAAACGGCATGAGTAAAAGCTTGTAGTCAATGCTCAAAACAAACTCCAGTACCTAGTCATTCACTCATTTGGCAAATGTTCACTGCCTGCCTAATACCTGCAAAGAAAGCACTATTAATTAATGTTTCCCCATAACTTACCTCTATAAGGTTTTAAGGTAAATAAATACATTTAAAAAGAATTGCCATCAAAAGTATGTCACTTAAGATGTGGGAAAATCTACTTAAAGCTATCAAATTTTTCTATATTTAAAGTTATGGAAACCACTGTTAAAGACATAATCAAATTTATAAAGCAGTTGTCAAAAGAAAAACTCTTACTAGTAACAACATATACACCATTTGCTTAATACAATGACTGTTTTGGATTTATTTTGTGGTTCCATGGTCTAACTAATTTAGATGTTGAAAAGCCTATTATGCAAAACTCAGGAAATAAATAAAAGGAAAAAGATAAGTGACTTGACGAAAGTAACTGCAGTATGCTGACATTCTTCTGTCAAAATCACCTTCCTGTCCTGAATGAGTACAAGGTGAAGCTGATGGGTTGTGGCAAATGCGAAAGCTTTTGTTCTTAGAGCACAGAGGAGAGAGACAACATTTAAAAATTGAATTGCAAAATCTCTGTCCATGTGAGACACTGTGGTTTGAAGCATGTCTACTGCACTAGGCTCTCGCCCAGATTTTTCATTCTGGGACTTCTTTGACAAAACACAACTGGAATGTCTTTGCCCATGATAAATCCACATAATAAAAATAAATGCTCTATTTCCAGAAAAAAGAAACTTCTGCCTATCATCTGAATCTCAGTTCCGCTACAAGCCTGGATGACAAAAGGACTCGATATGTGACTCAGAGCTTCTGCATGACTCAGTTTGCTATGGGAAAATCTCCCTCCTAAATGAGAATCCTCTACTTGTATTTGAAGTCATGGTAAATGCAAAAGTGACTTAGGACCCTAAAAAATTATACATGTTATCATTTCTACTGTGACATAGAATATACTATAATGTTCCCAAATCAACACTTCTATTCTCAGGCTAATCATTTAAGTAATTCTACCTAAAACAAAGAATTTTTTTTCCCAAACACCAATTAGTGGTTCCAGTGGCTGAGAGGAGATAAATTTTTGAAGTGTTATTTTTTTTATGGGTACAGAGGTTCAGTTTTGGGTGACTAAAAAGTTCTGGAGATGAATAGCATTGATGGTTATACAACAGTGAACTGTACACTTAGAAATGGTTAAAATGATAAATTTTATATTATATATGTTTTACCACAATAAGCATTTTTTTAATGTTATTAGCCCTGAAAAAATGAAAACATATAAAAGAAGAATATGTTATTTGTTATAAATTTTTGTTCATCTAAGCTAATAATAAAAGTCCCCTAAAACAACTAAGTTAAAAAGAGCACCCAATTAGATTAAGTGAATCATTAACATAACAAACATTTTGTCATTGTTGAAAGGCACTGGACTTGCCAGAATTATATACTTAGTGAATTTTATATATGCATACATATTTATGGCCAAAATAAAAATAAATTTGTATAACTATATCTTTATTAGTCAAAGAGTAAAAGAAACCATGGCAGGTGTCAACACATGAGGCAGAACTGAAACCTTGCTATAGAATTAACCGAGATTTTCATACAGCCTCCAGCAGTAGAAACTATTAGAACTGAGCTGTGAGAAAGAAGACTGTATTTTGAATCTCCACCTCCCCACCCCACCCCCCAAACACACACTCTCTCTCTAACCCCAGAAAATTGGGCTGATTTTCATTTGCTTACCACCAGTCCTAGTACGAGGGTGCGAACTCTCTCTCCTATCTCTGGTGAAATGTCATTGCCAAACTGCTGCAGGGTAGTTAGGAACCGTTTCAGCTTACTGAGTTGCCTGGCGCCACAGGCTGGGGGCAGCTGTTGATTAGCCAGAGAAGAAGAGGAAGAAGAGGAAGGCCCATTGCTAAAGCCGTTGGGCGGCGAGGGGGCACCATTCAAGGCTGTGGGTGAATGGCTTGTGCCATTAGTTACTGTCAAGAGCACAAAATCAGAAAGAAAAACTTATAGAGAAATGCACAAAGAAATTACAACCAAGTTTCCTTCCCTTTAAATCTTGCGGATTTTGTCATTTAAAAACTGTTGGCTATAATATTATCTTAGTTTCAGGTTAAAAAAAACCCCAGTAATTAGACATTATGTAACTTACAAAATGATCACCCCAATAAATCTACCCACCTGACACCATGTATAGTTATTATAATATTATTGACTATAATTCTTATGCTGTAAATAAAAAATAAAAATATATTTAAAGTTAAAACAAAACTGGTGGAGCTTTTTTATAAAACACTTTGACTTCGCAGGATCACCACGGGCTCAGGTATTCTGTAATTAAGTGAGTCTCCTCCTCACCCTGCATGAGGGTATCCTGCACAGAAGCTGATTCTAAATGGAGTCGGCTGCAGCACAGAGACAGCCCTGCCTCCCATGTGCACATATGCCAACCACCTGAAATGTTTCCAACACAGAACAAACATCGCTTGGATGTCAGCCTTTTGTCACCAGCTTACATCAATATAACAGGACTATTTCTTTCTAAGCTGCTCCCCTAGAGAAAGTGTACATTTGGTGGAGACTAAATTTATCACTGAACATTTTTAATCATGTTTTGTACACACAACTGACAGCTGTGTTTATAAAAATTGGACTTTCAAGTTTTAACCTTATACCACCCAATTAGAAGGCTATTTTCTCCCCCTCATATTTCTTAATCACTTCTTTAGGGAAAATGCATATCTTATGTAAGAAGCCAAAATGTATATGGTAATTATCAAGGAGTTATTCCAAGAAATTCAAAGGGTACATATCTACCCCAATAATAACAGTTGGTGGTAATTCAATAAATTCATTTCTGATAATATTTGAAAAGATGATAATCCATAACTAGTAGGCCAGAAAAACTTGCACATTTCTCACTAAAGAAAATGGTGATTTTATTATGCTAAATCAATTAGGTGGACAAATTGATCTTTACCAAATGTATTTTTTAATATAATTTTGATAAACTATCGCCAACAATAATTGGAAAATGTTTTAAGTACTCCATTATCCTTAAAGTTTCAGGATAGTAAAAAAAAATGGTCTCTTGTCCTAAATGAGTACCTAAGCAACCTGTCAAGAACTGACAGCTCCCTAGGACTTCTCGCAGGAGACATATGCCCATCACTAAGGCTTTGGATAACAGCAAAACAAATATGACAGGGTTACAACTTGGCACTGCTGCAGCCTCCTGCTCCCTACACTTTTGGAAAGGTCTTTTAAATGGCAATGCAACACTGCATGAACAGCCTGGGGTGTGTATTTTGCCAGTCCCTTTTAATCCCAGGAATCTATTTTTTGCCTGTTATTTTCTTATTCATATAGATCTACCAGCACGTGGTCTACAAATACTATTATCTGCAACAGATAGCATTTAGTCATTTCACAAATCCTGGATGACAATTTTAACCAGAACTTTGAGACTGATGAAGTCAAAGCTACTTGCTACCCCTACTACAATATACAGGAAAGAAAGGGAAGTTGTGATTCTGTCAGAGTCTTCTGTCCTTTCCCTGGATGACACAGAAAGCAAGAAAAGAAAGAGGCTCCTTATTTCAGAGAGTTTTCTGTATGCAACTGTTGCATAAAGTGTTTTTTTTATGCAAACGTTAGATTTTTTAACATTTTTAACCTAAAAATAAAGATTTTAACATGATTTGTAAGTAATAGAAGAAAAGAGTATTAGAAGATCAGATGTAACCTGGAAATAATTATTAACATGTTCCAAGTCAAAATGAACAAACTAAAATAAGGAGCTCCACATTGGGTTGAATTAAAAGTTATAGTGGTAACATCTCGAGTTACAGACCAAATGTGTTCTTCATTCGCTGAGATCATAGTAAACTACATTTCTGAAGCAATCACAAAAAGGCAGGCAAATATTGGCAGTCTTACAAATTATACCTAAGATATGACACATCTGTACTCAATCCCTACTCAGTGGCGAACAAATGATTTTTTTTTCTTTTGCTTCATCTCTGCATAATTCATTGATGCTGGATCTTCTTTTCTCTCAATTTTTATTTACATACAAAATGTAATTTAAACTTCAAAATGTAGAAGTGCCTGTACTCACATGTTGTTGGTGTAAATGAACTGGTTCTCGGGGCTCCTTGAGTTGTTGGGGGTGGTGGCATCGTGGGAGGTGTCAGCCTAGATGGAGTCTTCACATCCACAGGTGAGTCTGGCATCGTGGAGTGCTTCTCAGTCCGATCTGGAGGATGCCACCAGGAGCATGTTACTTTCTTAAGCACCTCAGTTTTTTAAGTGGGGTTCATCTTTTTTACAAGCAAGTAAGCAGAAGAAATTCAACATCTACCAATAAAACAGGCTTATCTACTAACGTTTAAATGAGGACTTTATTATCCAAGCTCCACTTAAGAAGGTGTAGCACAGATGGCAGGACTTCATTTGTAACTTGAGCTAATGCTACCTTGGTAGTGTTAGAGGCAACAATGCAACTTCCCTCAAAGCAGAAGCCAACATTAGCAAGAGTTACAAAAATAGATGAGGAAGTTAGGTGGTAATGAACCCTTCGGACAGCCTAGTAAGAACTCAAATCTGAAGTTCTGTGATGCTGGGAGATATTAGCGGGAGCCAGCGTTCGGCGATTTTTGTGACACCTGTCATCCCTTTTCCATACTTAGTTTCCTGGCCTTTCAGATGAAGCAGGTTGTATATCCAGGACATACGTCTCACTTCAATTTTTTTCTGCCTTGGGTTGAAAAATCACCACTACATAAATGTTGTATATCACAACAATTAAGTTGAGCTATTATTTACTAAAAATTTGTGAGTTTAAGACCCGCCCCTTTAAAAACAGGAGACCAATATTTCAATTAATACTCTCAGGCAGAGGAAGAATAGAAAAATCCTAAATTAAGAATTTAAAAGGACCCTCCTTATATTTTTTCATGAGTACATGATAGATATGGAAAAATTTTCTGATTAATCAATAATGGACATTTGCACTCAGGACTGTTTTCTTCTAAATATGCTTTCCCCTATCAAATCTCCAGTAAAAAAAAAAAAAAAAAAGTAGTTTTTGTTTGTTTCTTTAGATCCATTTTCCCACAGACATACGTATAGATGGGCGTGTGCACGCACACCCACACCCCCCAAACATGTTTGAGGTACTTCTTGCAACCTTAAACAGATATTTCCCACTTTAACTTTTTGAAAAGTAACAAAGATTATTAATAAAGATTGGGTTTTTAAAAATATTATAACCATATGAGTACAGAGTTAATTACTCAAAAATAACTTAAAAGTAAATTATTCAAAGAAAATGAAAAGCCAAAACTACTACTACTATCACATTCCAAAACTACCTCACCTTTATTCAAAGCAGTTTCATAAAACTTGGGTTGCAACAGAACACAACATTTAAAAGGTAAAATAATGTTGATGTGATATCAAGGAAGGCGTAATAAAAGATTGCAAATCATCATTACTCATTCTCATAAGAGCATTTTGCAAGATGATCGAGTTGCCTGTATCAGGGTCTCTATGTGTTAAGCTCTAACTGCTAGTTAAACAGTAATGTCCCCGTAGTGAATTAAGTGTTCTGCGTGAGATGATGGTAAAGGCAGATGGAGAGCATGTCCGCCTTTATCAATTATTGTTAAAAATTGTGTTTCTATTACTATTCCAGATCATTCAAAAACCAGTATCAGTAAACCAATTATTTTAGAAAAATACAGAAGTTAGGAGGGTTTAAAACCACTTCTTCAATAGTTAAATTCATGGCAATCTACTCACCTCAACCAACCTCAGCAACAAGGGACTAAACAGCTTTCCACTTATGTTGCAACTGAGGGAAGAGGTACAGCAGCTAATACAAGTCACCCTAAATAAAGGCAAATATTTCTGTCATGCCAAGGAAGGAGGGAGAAGGGGAGGTTTGCCAGAGTCAGCTGGGAGATAACAGTGGGAACTGCTGGTCCATCTGGTTTTCATTCTGCTAACACTCACGCTGAACTGTTAGAGAAGCCAGTCCAGATACACAGATTGAAGCACGTAGTTGCACAGACAGAGAAAGGAAGAGTGGGAGGGGGATGGGGAAGTGGGAATAATGAAAGAGAGGAAAGACCAAAAGAGAGAGAAAGAGCCTAAAGGGAGAGAAATGTACTCTGGACAGATTTGTTTACCTCGAGAGCTAAAAGCTGAGCCTTAGAGGACACAGCTCCCACCTTACTTACCTTGACATAGTTCTTGAGCAATATCTAAACTTGAAAACATACCTTAGACCCATTTTCTTTAGTTTTTTAAATAGAAAAAATAAACAAAAAAGGAATAACCCACAAAGATGACAATGGGTTTCCTTTTCAGGCTTTAGATAATCTTTATATAGAAAAATATAATCTGTCCAGTTTTAGAAAAATTTTTGATATATCATGATTTTGATTTGAAAATATTTTGAATACATATCTTGGTCCATATTTGTAACATAATTCCTATCCAGAAAATCATCATCCTCATCACCATAATCATCATCAAAGGCAGAAAAATGATTTTAAGTTCTTGAAACGTCATCTCTATATATTTTAGGAATGGTAAAACTGAGCCAATGCAAAGCACAGCATCGCAATTTCTAACAGGAACATACATATACATTCTCACTGGAATATATGCAGATCTTTAAGATTTTGACATTAGCCAAATTTCTGAGATGGTTAGTTTTACTGTGATCAAATGGAGTTCCAACCCAGAGGTCCTACAAACTTAGACAAAGTGGGACCATATGTAACTCATTCTGGGCTGTTCAGTGCAATCAATCCAGGATGGAGATAGATGGTGAAATAACCAGCCAGGCCTAACCCTTACACACACACAAAACTCTCTGGAGTAAAAAGACTTAAAATAAATTCAGAAAATGTGTTTCAAGTATGCTGAGTTCTGCTGCATTTGTTTTGAATTAAAAAATTTTTTTTGAAATATATATTCTTGAAACTTTTATAACAAACAGCAAAAGAGCTGATTTAACCACAGAAGCATTTCACTCCATTTCAAATTAGAAGATACAGTAAAACCAATACTGTTATATTTCTTATGTAATTTTTAAGTTCATGAAAATTACATTGTTCCTGTGCATAATTTCTATTTTTAGTTGCCATAGGAGAATGCTGACACTTATTGAAAGATTGACACAAAAGGATGAAATAAAAAAGAGAAACAATTTCCATCAGATCAGCAAGGTATGTATAATCAAAAGGACTAACTCTACCTTTACCTTAATGATTCACACCAGTTCTAAACAAGATTTGCCATATGTGATAACATTTCAACTTACGTGGCAAATATCCAACACATATGTACTAAAGATGGCTGAAGCATGGAAGAAAGTGCGGCATATATAAATACATTACGGATATCATTTCAACGTCAGGGTCATCTAGAAGTGGTATGTTTTCCATTTCCTTTTTTTTTTTAAGTAAAAGGAAAAAGTATGCCATAATCTGCTGTGGCACTTACTTTACTTTTAGTTAGTTCAAATAGTTCCAGACATGTTTTTAAAGTAGAAAGAACAGGCATTCTACATTTTCACTGTTTACATACCACTCTAGAGATGAGTACTGTAAAAAGACACAAAGTTCACTATTGGTAGATGGTACATCTTTTTCTATCAGAGTTAATCACGTCGATGATAATAGACTATGTGTCAGAGGTGTTAGAGATTGAGGAACTTCTTGGTCAATTAGTACTCAGTCCAGAGTTAGTCTTCTTTGAATAAGTGTTAATTAAGAAAGCTAGAAGGTATGCACTAAAGAGGAGTGATCCCAAACAAGACCAAGGTCCTACTAATGAAAAGGAGGAGGCAGTTATGGGGGAAGAACATTGGGTACAGAATTGTATTTTTATTTCTCTGGCAAATACAGTTCTTACAATACAGTCCCTTAGTGGCTTCACTGTCTGGGTGTGAGATGTTACAGGAGACTAACGCAGACTCAGAATGGTGGCCATTCAGTCTCCATAATGCTACCATCTTATTTCCCTGATGAGCACTTCTGGTAATGTTCATTCCTGCTCAGATGTCCAAGAATAAAAGTGAAATGCTAACACCTAAAACATGATGAAATTATACAGGGGAAGGATATTTGGCATAATAGGAGAATTTCTAGGTTTTGAATGTAGACTAAACAATTAGTAGTGAGTCCTCAGGCAAGGTGGTTATGCTGCACCTCAGTCCCTCAGAAAAATGGGAATGCAACCCTCTCTACCTCCTGAGAGGCCGTGCAGTGCCTACTGTATACGTTGGGCACTAATATGTGTGAGCTTCATTCTCTCGTGCCTCCTCTCCATGATCCATTCACGGCTTCATTTCCAATCTCTTTACCCTGAGAATATTCCCTAGATATGCAGGGCATTTTGGTATTCCTGGGTTTTTCTGCCTTTCTTTTCCATGCTGTAATTTCCTTCATCTAAAAGGACCTGTCTGTCCCATCTTACCCAGTCTTCACTACCACATTATCTTACAGCTTTCCCCAGTGGCCCTAGGCACCAACCACATCATACTTCTTCTGACTCTCTTGTATGATTTACCACAGCCCACATGTACAACAGATATGTACATATATGTAATTATACACCCAAATACCCCAATCAGTAGAAATAATAAGCAACTTGATGGAAATTTTTATAAACGCCTCCTTAGGAGCCATGTAAAAATTAAATGTAATCATAAGAAGAATGGTCACATTCCTAACTTTTACATGTCCATTTCCTGTATCATATTCAGTTCAATGACGCCAACTCTAATTTCATGGCAAAAGACAAATACATAACCATCAACAGCATATAAATACCTAAGGAAACAATGGAATGTGGGTAATAAGGGAAACTACTAGAGACCTAAAATTCGGTTCAACTCTGCAACTAACTTATTATGTGGTTTTAGGCAAGTGTAAGAATGACCTGTTGTTACCTCATGTTTTATCATAGGTATTTTGTTAAGATTATTATTTCTGAAACACTAATCTGATTGTACATATTCCCTGATTATAAACATTTTGGAGTATGCCACTGTGAACAGAATAAAAAATATGTTCTTTACTTATGTACTGACACCGCTGGGTTCCTGCTCAACAGCCCTCCTCTCCCCTTCCTTACTGCACAGCCCTGATTTTGTTCAGGCACACAATTCTCGCGGGAGATCCTCCTGTGCTACATTAATCATTTCCTTTGTCAGCAACAGGTTTCAGAGCTGAGTGTCGT